CCCTCTTTCAGGGTTATCTTTTCAGGGCTATTCAACAGGTAATGCTTGTATGCCCATGATAATTCCTACCATAGCCTCACTCAGCCTTGCACCAGCTTTAAAGACAGAACAAAATAAGAGAAAGTTACAGAGATTTTAATATGCTAAACTGTGTCTGAAACTCCCACTCAAATTCTTTCTTAAATTTCCTTTTCACATTATTTCGATCTACCATAACATAGGTAAGACTTGAATTCTGTATTTAATTGTTTTGAAACTTTGATGTAGAATGTCTAAGTATTTTCTAAATACTTGTTGTTTCATTGCATATCATCTTTATAAATGTTATTCTGTAGATTAAAAGAGACTCTGAGGAACATACTAGTGGTAATTTAAAAAAAGAATATCAAAAGAGTGTTGGTAATACTATGTAAGCAAATGTTCTTAGATCTATATATGTGAAATACAGAAAAGTAGGTGCATGGACTAGAGACAGTTACAGTTCTCTAAGGGATTTTATCAGTTTCTGGAGTATTTACAGTAACTGTCACTAACTACAAAAGGTAATGTAACTTACTGAGAGGCTTTGATAACTAAGAAAGCTAGCAATCCTGCAGATAGAAGTGACTACAACGGTTAATGGTGTTAAATTATATTTTCAATATTACACTTATAAGCTACTAAATAATTTATTGATGATGTTTGGGAGAGCTTGCTGTCTGTTAATGTTGTCATGCATTGTCATGTGCCATTACATATTTTTTTAAATGTCTTGTGTTTTTTAGGCCTAAGGACTGTCTCCGTTCTATTATGAAGAGAGTAAACCATAAAGATCCCCATGTTGCTATGCAAGCATTAACAGTAAGTTCTTTTTAATGCAGTGCTTTTCCTTCCTGAAAACTTATATTGCAAAAAATCTTCTCTGAGTGTTAATCTTTCTTTCTTTAGCTTCTAGGAGCATGTGTATCAAACTGTGGTAAAATCTTTCATTTAGAAGTCTGTTCAAGAGATTTTGCCAGTGAAGTGAGCAATGTGTTGAATAAGGTAATGTATTGCACTGATTTATACAATTTATAGAAAAACTAAATCAGACAGAGAATTGGGGTAATCTGAAAGTGGAAAGGGGTCTGCTTTTGGAAGACTGGAAGTTTGGTGGTGGAGGAAAGGAAACAAGATTACCGGGAAGACGGTGGCTGTGAGAAACAACTTCCTGAATACCACTTCACACTGCAGTTACTTACATACTCTGTTTGAGGGAGGCAGGGTGTGTTAATTTATAAATATACAAATTCATTTTCATGTTAAATAACAGCAGTGAAACACGAAATACTTATGTGGTGAAATTGAGATAATACAGGGCTTTTATATAACCTTGTTTTACTCTATGTTGGGCCTAGTATGTATTGCACTAGTACAAGCACAATGCTGGTGTACTGTTCTCCCTTTCTAATAAAGATATCCTTTAGTGATACACTTGACTTTAAAATAAAGTGTCTATATAATTTATATTGACAGTAACAAGAAATTATTTGAAATCAAGGAATTAAGAACAGATTCCTACATTATTTTACAAGTTTCTACTGTTCTTGTAGGGTCATCCAAAAGTTTGTGAAAAGCTGAAAGCCCTTATGGTGGAATGGACTGATGAATTCAAGAATGACCCACAGCTTAGTTTAATATCTGCTATGATAAAAAATCTTAAGGAGCAAGGAGTTACTTTCCCAGCTATTGGTTCACAGGTATATTAAATTTTGTTGTTGTTATTAAAGAGTATCACAAATTCTTTTTATCCTCAGTTCTGTATTTTGCATTTTGTAGTCTTGAATTGTATAATATGTTTGGCAAACAAAATGAAATCTCTCTTGTCTCAATAAAATATTCCTTTAAGGGGTGAAATGCTCTGATGTACTTTAGAGTTTTATATTGCAGATGAATACAAATCAAAGTGATGAACTTAGTGCATTGTCTGTTTTTTGTTGAATTAATTTTTATGTCTTTCACTTTTGTCTAGGCTGCTGACCAGGCAAAAGCAAGTCCAGCTCTAGTTGCCAAAGATCCTGGTACAGTAGCCAACAAAAAGGAAGAGGAAGACTTAGCTAAAGGTGAGTACATTTATTTGCTGACCCGGTGAGTATATTGGTAGATATCAAATAAAGCAGGAACAAATGTTTTGCTTCCTTCCTCTATGTGAATATTATATTTATGGATTGTGGTTATGATTTCTATTCCTTTCATTTTGTACCCTTCCTGGAGGCTTAGAGATTAAAACTATTCTGTGGGTAAAAAATATGAAAAATTCCCGATATTTAGTTTTTTTCCCTTGCCAAGCTGAAACAACAGAGTAAAAAAATCTGCAAAATCTCATGTTAAGGACATACTTCAGTATGGAAATATTTGATACAAGTTCTGTATTTAGAGTTTCCCTCTTCCTGGGGCGAGTGGAGCGTATTTATTTGCAATTTAAACATTTGATGGAAGGAGACAATACGTTGTTTGCAAAGTTGGGTTCAGTATTTTGGGTATAAAACTTTTATTCCTTTGAATAGTTGCTGTAAACATAAGGGGATGTTAAATGCCTCACTGCAGTCGCAGTAAACAAAACTAGGCTGGTTTCTTTTGATTCACTGTTGTACTAAGGTATATTTAAAGGCCATTTAATGATCCTACAGTAGACATATGTGAAGAGTTATTCTTAGAGTAGTTTGATCTTTATGGTCTTGATACTGTTTTTTGAGGTCAAACTTGAGCAATGTAAAGGCATCAAATGTTAGCTCTCGTACGTAGCATGGCTTTGGGCCTAAAGTTGTAACAATGACTGCTCACTCTGTAAGTGAAGTTCTTGTGCTAGTAGTTGGTGGATGTTTGCAGTTTCTCATCTTTGATATAATTTTTTCTTGTTTAGCTATTATCTAATATAGCATTGATTTATTTAAATCACCATTAGCCCATCTGAATATGTTACTAATGGTTTCTTCAACAGTTGATTCACCAAAGTCTACTTTTCAAGGGATCTGTGTCTCAAAGGTTCAGATTCTGCATGGGTTCTCTAATGTTTGCTCTCTCGTTTTTTGTCTCCTGCTCTGTCCCTTCTTAAATGTGATCATTTTTTTTCACAAACTTGGAGTAGTTTAGTAACAGCAAAACCTTTCTGCTCAGTCAAGTTTGATTGAAAATCAAGAAATGTAAAATTATTCAAGGAACGATAGGGAGAGAATAGGGAGAGAAAAGGAATGAACAAAGTTTTGCTTGTCTAAGAAAAAATGTTTTTCTTAATTATGAATTAAGGAGGCACTTTTATACTATGAGGGTGACTGAGCACTGGCACAGGTTGCCTGGGGAGGTTGTGGAGTCTCCATCCATGGAGATATTCAAAAGCTGTCTGGAGTTAGTCCTGGGCAGCCATCTCTAGGTGGCTCAGCTTGATCAGGGGATTGGACAAGATGACCATCAGAGGTGATTTCCAACAACAACCCTTCTGTGCAGTTCTCTGATTCTATTAATTCAGGATAAAGACTCCTGATCTAACAGAGAAACAATGTATACCCAAACAGCTGTATCTTTTTAATGTTTCAAGCAACCTGGAAAAATTGAACATCCTGTATGTGCTAGTAAGAATGTAAATACTTTACACTAGTTCAAGATTATAACAATAATAATAAAAAAAGGATGACTTCATGAGTTGTCCCATTTGTGCTTGCTTAAGTGCTGTTTATTCATCCTGTCCGTGTTGAAAGCCTCCATAAATCTATGGGCAGAATTATGTTCTCTTTTTGTAAAACATCTTTTTGGTTTTTTACCATTATTTATAAGTGAAAGGCAGAAGTTGATGATGGTGCAACAGCAATGGAATTTAAATGTTTCAAAGAGTTAAATTTTCTTATAATTCAACCCATTTTTATTGGGAGTTTTTATGTGAATAACTCTTCTTTTGTAGCTATTGAACTGTCACTCAAAGAACAAAGGCAACAGCAAACAACACTTTCCGGTTTGTATCCGAGCACCTCCAGCCTTTTGACAAATCACAAACATGAGGGCCGTAAGGTTCGTGCAATCTATGATTTTGAGGCTGCTGAAGACAACGAATTAACTTTTAAAGCTGGAGAACTTATAACTATCCTTGATGACAGGTAATTTATATAGAATGGCTACTAGAAGTATATTAGACTGCAAAAATCAATTGCAAATAATCATATCTTCTATGTAGAAGCATACATTGGAATAAAATTGCAATAAAATGTGTCTGCATATTAAATACTTTAGTTATCTCAGATTTTTTTACATACAGATGTAAATACATAAAGATTCTTGTATAAAGATTTCTGCGTATATGCAAATTGTATTTATATGAAAGTTATACAAATGCCATGTACAGTGCAATTCTTAGGAACATTCCATGTGAATATGGGTTTTTTAATGTATGGGGTTTTTAAATTTTTGTTTATCTTTAGTGATCCAAATTGGTGGAAAGGTGAAACTCATCAGGGCATAGGATTGTTTCCATCTAATTTTGTAACAGCTGATCTTTCTGCTGAGCCAGAAATGAGTAAGTAACATTATATTTATGTATATAAGTTAAGCCTTGCCATGGACCAAGGGATATTTCAGTAATAATTTACTTTCCCTGTTTCCTTTTACTTATGATAGAGTTCAGTTGCAAGTTAATGTGATAATTGAAGTAAAACTGAGCCCTTGCTGTGTCACAAACAGTCGTGTCTTTATGTGTCAGACCAAGGTTGCCCAAGCTGGCATCTGCTGAAAATGTGATGCTGCCTACTGCTGGCCTTGTTGGTAGCTTCCTCGAGACTTACTTAACAACTCTATTGACACCTAGATAAATGTAGGCAACAGCAGTTTTTTTCCAAATTGCCTTTTTGCCTGGTTGCAGCGGTACATATCTAATCAAGAAAAAACTGAAGGCCCCTGGCCAGATAGTAGTTGGAGACAGATTACCACTGTTCAAACAATTCAAGAAACTTACATACTGTAGGTATGTATGTGTGCATAATGGAAGGAGGTTTTTTCTCTGTATTGGTTATCTTCTTGTATCTATATCAGTCTAACCTACTCTAAATACTTAATTCAAATATTAAATATTAGACAAGGTTTTAAAATGCTAGAACTGATTTCTGTAATTCTGATGGTTTTGCAAGCTTAGTCTCCTGCGATCTCAATATGAGTGTGCTAAAGATATGAGCAGGTCAGCAGAATTTCATGCTGTATGACTCATTTGTTCTATGTTAGGAATAACAGATAAGAGTACTATGATAAGGATAGCATTTGGCAGCTCTTTTTTTGTGGCCTCTGCTCCAGAGGAATGAGATGCTTTTGCAGGTACTGTTTGATGGAGAAGGAACAGCAAAATCTATACTTTGCTCTGGAGAAAGGAAGGCTCTGGTTTGTCTTAGATGATTTTACCAGTTTTCTTTTAAACCTGACTCATTAATCCTGTTTCTTCCAGTCACTCTCTCTTAGTCTGTTTTCCTGACTTACTAAGTATGTTATGTGTGGGGAGACTATGATAAAGACATTTGTTTCTATTTACCTTGTATGAACTGACATTTTTTAAAATGCAATTTATGAATTTGTTTAAGAAAATTGTTTAAGTCTATGGAGATGCTTTGACTTTCAAATGTCAAATTTTGTTAAATATTTTGTTAAATATTAATTTTTTAAATTTTTGCAGTAGATGCTTCAAATGCAAAGAACTTAGGCAGTATGCTAGCTGTATAACATTTAAGTCATTGATTTGTTTATTTTAATTTTATAAAAGAAAATCTGCCTGTTTATCTTACAGTGAAAGCTGAGAAGAAAACAGTGCAGTTCAGTGATGAAGTTCAAGTAGAGACAATAGAACCTGAGCCTGAACCAGTTTATATTGATGAAGTAAGTGTAATACAAGTACTGATTTTCAACTTCTGGTACATGTAAATATGTGATGTTTAACCTTTTCATCTTGTAGTTTAAAAACAATTTGAAATATCAGGAGAACATAATCAAAATAGAATGGGAAGAGGAAGTTGATTTAACTAAAAAAAAAAATCTGCAGTATTCTAATTTGTTCATGTATCTTGAAGTTCTTAGGAATTTCTGAAACTGAATTTGGACACGGCATTCCATTTAGGGCCCTACTCCAGGATTGTACAGCTGTTCACCTCTAAACTAGAAGCTTGGTGTGGAGTGACGCATTTGCTTTCAAGTTTTAAGTACTTCAGGATACATCGGATATATTCCTCTTGCGTGCTGTCTTAGATATTTCCAGTATAACCACCACTGTCTTCCCCTAATCTGAAAGATCTCTTTCCTTTTCTGAAAACTGTGAGCTTTTTATTGCTCTGTAAGTAATATTTAGTAAGATTTGCACAATCTCACCACAGTGATTCTGCAAGATTCCCAGGATGTTTTCCCCTGCTTTCCCCCACCCCGCCCCCTCTCCCAGGGGGCTTAGAATTGTTCTCTTCAGAATTTTCCCTTTCTCTGTCATGACCTTCCATTTCTTTCTCAACTAGGGTTTTGTCATTGTTTTTTGAAATGAAAAATCAGTTCCTGCCTTCCTGAAGTCCTGTTTAACTCCTGCCTCAAATACTCTTCCTCCCAAGAGATATTAGTTTGTAATCTGCTGAAATAGCTTATCTCAGGTCTGCCTTGAGGTGCCTTCCAGCTTTTGTCTTCTGTGATTCCATGTTGGTTTATGTTTTAGTGTCTTGTTGTGTTTTGAAAATCAACATAGTATAATTTTTAAGGAAGCAGTTAGTTTTGCTTCTTCCTGCCTTTCGTGGGGTTAAGGAGGAAGAAGCATGTTTTTAATTTCCACTTTGATACAACCTGTATAACTCTGGCCTGTTAAAGGCTGTTTGATAGCACCCAGCTAAAAAGTGATTTTTTTTTTTTTTTTTTTTAGTCATTTACGTGTAATGTTTTGTTAAGCAATATAGTTCATTCCAAGACATTTCAAAGAGTTTATGCCTGTTAATTTTCTACCCTTTGGTATTTTTATAAATGAGTTGCACTTAATCAAGGATAACTTGTTCTTAAGTCAACCGTGCAACCCCTCCAAACATCATCTTAAAAAAACCTTTTCATGCATGTTATTTATGACATTGGTTATGTGCTGATAGGCCTCATACACTTACAAAATGCAGGGTAGCTTCTCAGTGAATTTAGTTTTAAGTACCCATTTCTTTTTTAAGTACTCTCTCAATGTATTCTGTCAAAACATTTCCACTAATCCCAGTAGGTGGTAGTATTACATACGTGATAACTAGAATGGAAAAATAGAAACTGCTCAGAAAATACTGTTCAGAAGGACTTTTAGGAATAAAGGAGTATTCTGCATGTTCCACTTGTTACTGCTAATAATTTTTATCATTTGGCTTTTCCTTGTTCAAGTATCTTCATTCCTGTAAAGCAGCATGTGTGATTAGTATTTTCTTAAAAGTTAATGTAGATGATTTCCAAGTCCCAAGAGATGCAAATGGCTGTTGTGATCAGGTACTTTAATTTACTGTCCTGGAAGTGTTAATTTTCCCCCCTCCCCACATATGCCCTAATTACGCAATTTATGTCCTAGGATAAAATGGACCAACTCTTGCAGATGTTACAAAGTGCGGATCCATCTGATGACCAGCCAGACCTCCCAGAGCTGCTTCATCTTGAGGGTAAGAAAATCTCATGGGTTTTGTTGTTGTTTTCCTCTCTAGTAATTACCTATGTCAAAAAAAATTGAAATGAAGCTGGAACTACTTCAGCTTCGTGTGCACCACCACAAGCATGCCTGAGAACAGTGCCTGATCCATAATTATCTTCTCACTTCCTGTTTCCCCCATCTAAGAGAAGAAAGTGCAAAATTTTAACTTAAAACAAGTTCTCAAGGAAACTATATTCCATATTCTTTTCCTTCATAGAGTAGCACAGCATGAGTTGCAAAAGGAGTGTAAGGAAGATTCCATGAGGAGCAGCAGAAATACTACTGAGGTTTAGACTAGATCTGTGGGTGTCCCACATGCTTTTCACTTGCATGTGTATTTCTATAGGTCTTTAATATTAACAAACACCTTATAGAATGCTACAAATTAGACTAGTCCTTTAGACTGAAATTATTCAGACTACCTCTACAAAGAGGCATTATAGACCATTCTACCTGGGTTGATAAATGCACCAAATTTTTGGAAGGGATCTTTGGAGAAGGAAGCAAAGAAACTTAGTAATTATGAGACAGAACACTGGCTTAAAATGGCAATTCAGATAGGACCAGACTTTAAGAAAATTACAGATTCCAGATATATCTAGAATTTCATCAGAAAAAAGTGCAAAAGCTTGTAAGCTTTTGGATATCTCTCATCTTTCCACACCCATCTGGTTCATCATACCCATAAATGGATCCCGTTTTAGGAACTGCCCATCAGTGATGTGTCTGTGTGTATTCTAGTTCCACTAAAGCTAACGAGGGGTAAGAAGAAACATGAATGGTTTTATTCTTTCAAGTACCAAATATAGCTATAGAGGCTGTTGTGTAAGAAGCAGAATGTCTATATCTGGTCCAGGACAGAGGCAAAGAAACTGAAGGTGTGCTTGTCAAGCAACCTCCAGATATGGCTTACTTTAGGATCTCTTTTCAAAATGCATTGTGAGATCCTTAGAACTGCTAAATTTTATATCAAACTGTGGGACTAGGGAAGGTGTACGCCTCTCTGGAAGGAAACTGGAGACCTGGCCCTCGGAGAAGGTTGAGGTACTCAATGACTTCTTTGCCTCGATCTTCACCGGCAAGGACTCTGGCTGCACCGCACAAGTTGCAGAAAGGGAAGGTAAGAACTGGGAGAAGGAAGATCCGCCCACCGTAAGTGAAGAACAGGTTTGAGACCATCTAAAGAATCTGAAGGTGCACAAGTCCATGGGACTTGACGAGATCCATCCACAGGTCCTGAGGGAACTGGCAGATGAAGTTGCCAAGCCATTAACCATCATATTTGAAAGGTCATGGCAGTCTGGTGAAGTTCCCACTGATTGGAAAAGGGGAAACATAACCCCCATTTTCAAGAAGGGTAAAAAAGAAAACCTGGGGAACTACAGACCAGTCAGTCTCACCTCTGTGCCTGGCAAGATCATGGAGCAGATCCTCCTGAAGGCTCTACTAAGGCACATAGAAAATGAAGGAGAGGTGATTGGTAACCAGCATGGCTTCACCAAAGGTAAATCATGCCTGATAAACCTGGTGGCCTTATATGATGGAGTTACGGCATCAGTGGACAAAGGAAGAGCAACTGACGTCATCTACCTGGACTTCTGCAAAGCGTTTGACACTGTCCTGCATGACATCCTGGTGGCCAAATTGAAAAAATATGGATTTAATGTATGGACCACCTGCTGGATAAGGAATTGGCTGGATGGTCGCACTCAGAGAGTAGTGGTCAACAGCTCAATGTCCGAATTAAGGCTGGTGACAGGTGGTATTCCTCAGGGATCAGTACTGGGACCGGTGCCATTTAACGTCTTCACTGGTGACGTGGACAGTGGGATTGAGCACACCCTCAGCAAGTTTGCGGAGGACACAAAGTTGTGTGGTGCAGTCGACACGCTGGAAGGAAGGGATGCCATCCAGAAGGACCTGGAAAGGCTTGAGACGTGGGCCAATGCAAACCTCATGAAGTTCAACAAAGACAAATAGAAGGTAGTGCACATGGCAATCCCAAGCACAAATACAGGTTGGGTGGAGAATGACTTGAGTGCAGCCCTGAGGAGAAGGGTTTTTTGGATGTCAGTAGATGAAAAACTGAACATGAGCTGGCAATGTGTGCTAGCAGCCCAGAAGGCCAACCAGATCCTGGGCTGTATCAAAAGAAGCATGACCAGCAGGTTGAGGGAGGTGATTCTGCCCCTCTACTCTGCTCTCGTGAGACCCCACCTGGAGTACTGCATCCAGTTCTGGGCCCCCCAATGCAAGAAGGATGTCAAGCTGTTAGAGCAGGTCCAGAGGAGAGCCACAAAAAGGGTCAGAGAGCTGGAACACCTCCCCTATAAGGACAGGCTGAGTGAGTTGGGGTTGTTTAGCCTGGAGAAGAGAAGGCTTCAGGGGACCTTTATAGCGGCCTTTCAGTACCTGAAGGGGGCCTACAGGAAAGGTGGGGAGTGACTTTTTACAAGGGCATGTAGTGACAGGATGAGGGGTAATGGATTTAGACTGGAAGAGGGCAGATTTGGACTAGATATTAGCAAAAAATTTTTCACTGTGAGGGTGGTAAGACACTGGAACAGGTTGCCCAGGGACGTTGTAGATGTCTCCTCCCTGGAGGTGTTCGAGGCCAGGCTGGATGAGGCTTTGAGCAACCTGGTCTAGTGGGAGGGGTCCCCGCCCATGGAAGGGGGGTTGGACCTAGATGATCTTTAAGGACCCTTCCAACCCAAACCATTCTATGATTCCATGATGGCTCCTAGAATCTGAAAGCTGTAGTGTAGACAGATGATCGCTCCCCAGCTACCTACAACAGTGCTTGCCAAATGTATGGCTGTGTGTGGTTCTACAGCACCATATTCAGGACTGTACCTGCTCTACACGCAAGTACGCCTTAGGTAGCTACTATTTTTGGCATAGGTTCTGGGAATTTTGTTACAGATGTGTGTTGGATCTTGGGTTCCTACCATTGGTGGCAGGTGCTGGTCAACATTTGATAAAAAACCACTTCATTTCCTTCAGCCATCCAGATGTCCAGTCACAAATGTCTTTAAATTAGAGAGCTCATGCTAACACTTTCGAGAGCCCAGCATTTGTGGTCGGCAGCAGTGCAGTCATCATGTTTCTGTACAGACATGTAAGCGATCCTTGTCATGCCTTTTACCACACCTTGTGTTACACATAAAAATAGGCAGAACTTACACCAGGTTTTACATTTTTTCCCAGCGTTTCTGCCAATATGTTACTGATCCCAGGTTCAAAGATGCAGATGGGTGCCTTTCATACAACTCCTCTTTCACCTGGAGTTGCCTTCAAGGAACATGTCAGTTATGTCCTTTCACCCATCATGGCCCAGAGGCTTTCAGGACCTTCTGCATCTCTAATTTGTGAAAACTGGAAGTTCCAGAGCTGCTTGTAGTGTGTTTAAGTCATCTTTGATGCCTGAATCTTTTTTTTTTTTTTTTTTTTTTCCCTCTCAGTTTGAATGTTGAGTGGCTCTTGGTAATAAATACATCTGTTGATTAGTATATAGTTCATTGCTTGGATAAGAGGGCACATTTTGTGTTCTGGAGTAGGGTTAGACTGTAGTATCCCCTTTCAGCTTCCTTGTCTGTTTATTTTACATTTGTCAAACTCTGTCTTTCTGTTAGTTAACTGTGGTTTGCTTGGCAGTATGAACCACGTGTTCTTGTGCTGAAAGTTGTCTGGGGGTGCATTTTTATTTATTTTAATTCTTTTCCATTCTACTTCTGGTAAGTTTTTGTGCTGGTTTTGGCATGTGTGAGTGGTTTGAAAAAGCCCCCTTCCCCCAGTTCGGATGCTAGTGAGATAGTAATGTGCTTATTAGTGTCTTTGACCTGCAGATTATTTCAGTCATTGCGTCCTATTTTCCCCTTCATTGTTTTCATAGCCAGTCTTCTTGTAGTAATGTTAGTTGAGCACGTGATCTAGGTTGCAGTGGCAAATGCAAAAAAGAGATCACCTTTCAGATTTGCCTGAACTTTTTTATGCAAAATAGTTTCAACTTTACACTCTCTGGATATTAAATGTTTTGTTTCGCTTTATTTTTATTATCTTTTAAAAATATACTTTTAAAATTGTACCACTACTGAAACCTTCAGCTGGATCTCGTTCTTAAATTGTTCATGACACTACCCCTGTTAGTATAATTTTTTTGTCATACATATTTTAGTAACGGTTTTTTAAAAAATTTGGACTAGCATCTATACTTTTCTATGGGATATTTTTTTTTAAAGCTGCTTTCTGACCTTGCAGTATGGAAATCTTTGTTACTGTGATACATTGTAATGTCTTTGTGTTCTAGCAATGTGCCACCAGATGGGACCTCTCATAGATGAAAAGTTGGAAGATATAGACAGGTAAAAAAAGTCGTGTGTTTTGACTCAAATTGGTTCGTTCTTAGAAATACCAGTGTTGTTACTTAATATCTTAATCATTTCTGTGCATTCTGGCAAAGAAAATAAGTGTGTTTATTAGTAGCTTCTCATTTGGGAGGAAGTCTGAAGGGGTTTTTCCTAGTCACATAATATTTTGTAGCATTGTACTGCTTGACATTCTGGCACCTGTCAGGCATCACTTCACAGGTAGTTAGAATATGTTGCTTATCACACCTCATGAAGATTCCCCGTCTTGTCTGTTCTGTAGAATAAACTGTAAAATATATTTTCTAGGAAACATTCAGAACTTTCAGAGCTCAATGTTAAAGCCATGGAGGCACTTTCTTTATATAACAAATTGATGAATGAAGATCCAATGTATTCCATGTATGCAAAGCTACAAAACCAACAGTATTATATGCAGTCATCTGGTGTTTCTGGCTCTCAGGTATGTCTGTAACCTTTAATAGCCATTGATGTTTTCACGTACATACTGAACTCTTGTTGATTTCTTATGAATTATTACTGATAAGCAGTTTTTCACGAGCTAACATTTTTACAAAACTTGCTCAAATATTTTTTACAGTATACTTCTCTACATTACTAAAATAAATATATATTAACATATAAAATGTGGTGGAATGTGTTGATTGCAAGTAATAATTTATTTCCTGTTTAAATTGCACATAAAATTAAAAATTAAGGCAGCTAGGGCTTTGCATAGTGGGTCAAAGAATGTAAAGAACCAAAGGAGTACAATTCCTGTTTAAGGTTATGCCCTCCCCACCCTAAAATCAGTTTCTTCTTTTACTTTGCTTTTTTTGAAAGATCAGTAGAGAGAATCTAGTATTTAAATTACTGAAGTTAGAAATCATAATTCTTTCATGGCAGCATTTCCGCGTAATTGACTGTTATTTTTGCGTAGGTCTTTTGCTTTATTAATATACAATGGTATTTTTAAAAGGTCCTTTAAACATTTAAATGTTTAGTTCCATAGTCTAATGCACACTTGCTATATTCTTTTCCTGTTCATAGGAATACATAACATTTCAAACTGTTTTTTCAAATCTTGCATTTTGAATGAGTAAAAAAAAAAAATTCAAGCCAATTTACTAACACCTGCACAGTGTTATGTAAACATTGAAGGAGATTTAGTTGTTTTAGCTTCCTACAAATACCTGCTTTTTTTCAGTGTCTTTTAAAGAAGGGGATGTTTGTTTTTGCAGTGTCATTAAGAGGAGCATTGTCTTCCATTCATACAAATTAAGCAGTCATGTTGTGACACTGTCAAATATTTTTAATGTTTTATGAATGGGCATGTTTCTAGGGATTCTTAAAGGGAAAAATAGAATTTTGTCGTGAAGACAAGCCAGTATAAAGTTCTGAAAAGTTAGGAGGTCTTTGCTGGCTTCTGAAATTCTTTTGTGATATTGATAAGCCTTCTATGAATATGTCATCTGAGATTCATGGATCTTAAGAGCTGTATATCATAAACTTATATGAACTCAGTTATGCATGAGACCTTGTAATTTCTTCTAGTAATTTATGTTAAGCCAAATAATTAATGATTGAACAAAAGCATACGGTTTAGAAATTGTCTTGATTTAGAATACAGTTGACACATCTACTAGCAAGCTTTTCCTCTAGTTGTGAAACATTACCTTATTTTCAATTGAAAATTTTCTTAAGAATTCTTTTTCCTTTCTGCCCCACTCAAACAATTTTACAATGGCAGTCTCAACAGTTACATGAAATGATGGGTTAACTAATTGCATGAAAATAATACATTATTGGCTTTCCATTTTAACAATTCTACTTAGTGAAAGTTATCTGGCATCACAAAGTATTCTGCTTTGGACTGCTATTTGTTACATGATTTAAATCCTTTGGTATCTTCATTCAAAAGTAGAAGCTCTTAATTAGCATAAATGATAGCCATTAAAATAAAATTTGGAATACAAGGTTCCCAGTAAACTGTTTGACCTTTTTGCTACTGGAGACTGAGGTTAGAAATGTAAATAGTGTCCTTTGAAAATCTGGTCATTTTTTCATACTGCAACACTTAATAGAAGACAATCATTTGCTTTCTATTAAAACATCTGTAATAAAAGGTTAGAGAGGCTGTCTTTAAGCTCTAAAGTCAGATATTAAATACTAGATTTTATTTTATTTTTAATATTCCTTTATTTAACTTCCTAGGTTTATCCGGGGCAACCTCAAAGTAATGCATATTTGGTGGCAGGGAGTGGACAGATGGGCCATATTCAAGGCTATAATCTTCCTCCTGAACAGCTCTCTTCTCTCAGCCAAGGCACAGTTACTCCATCTGCCAGCTCAGTACTTCCTGGTCAGCCTGCACAGACATCTTACACAAAGTAATTTGAAATATTTTCCTATTCAAGGTTAAATCAATTTAAACATAAAGGACTACAGATAATATTTAAAGGAGATATTTTTTTTTCTTGTAGAAGTATAATTGTAAATACAACCGAAAGATACTTCAGTGCAATTATTTTCAGTGTGCTTTTATATTGGTGTCATGTATTTGGTAAAAATTCCTGATGAACTTCAAACTTCTCTGTTGTTTTTATAATTTTCTCTATTTTTAAATTTTGTATATAAGACATATATAATTGATATACTTTTTTGTATA